GCCTCGACCTCCCAACCTCAAGTGATTCTCCCACCTCAGCCTCCTGAGTAGCTGGGACCATAGATACACGCCACCATGCTTTGCTTATTTATTTTTATTTTTTGTAGAGACCAGGTCTTGCTATGTTGCCCAGGCTAGTCTTGAACTCCTGCTCAAGTGATCCTCCTGCCTCGGACTCCCAAAGTGTTGGGATTACAGGTGTGAGCCACTGCACCTGGCCTAATCCTGCTGTTTTTAATGAGAAATATTCCTTCACTAATCTCTTCTGATCTAAAATCTGAATTAAAAAAAATTTATTGGCCAGGCATGGTAGCTCATGCCTGTAATCCCAGCACTTTGGGAGGCTGAAGTGGGCAGATCACCTGAGGTCAGGAGTTCGAGACAAGGCTGGCCAACATGACGAAACCCTGTCTCTATTAAACATACAAAAAAATTAGCTGGGCATGGTGGTGGGCACCTGTAATCCCAGTTACTTGGGAGGCTGAGGCAGGAGAATCGCTTAAACTCGGAAGGCACAGGTTCAGTGAGCCGAGATCGCGCCACTGCAACTCCAGGCTGGGCAATGAGTGAAACTCCGTCTAAAAAAAGTTTTTTTCCTTAGTTTTAAACACAGTATATACAAAGCACTCTCACATTGCTGATGTGAATGTCTTTAAATGAAAAGCAACTGGTAATTTATATCAAAATTATAAATACACAAGCTCCTTGCCCCGGAAAGTCCAATTTTAGAAATTTAACCTATGGATAAATCCACACAGCTGTGAAATGACATGTGTTCATGGCTGTACATTGCAGCATTGTTTATAATAGCAAAAGATTGGAAGCATCTGTATTAGGCCATTTTTGCATTGCTATAATGAAATATCTGAGGTTGGGTAATTTTTAAAGAGGTTTAATGGGCTCATAGTTCTGCAAGCTTTACAGGAAACATGGTGCTAGCAGGTGCTTCTGCTGAGGCCTCAGGAAGCTTACAATCATGGCTGAAGGTGACAGGGATCCAGCATGTCACATGGAGAGAATAGGAACAAGAAAGTGAGGGGGGTGAGGTCCCAGTTTATCACCAAGGGGATGGCGTTAAACCATTCACAAAGGATCTGTTCCCATGATCCAATCACCTCCCAACAGGGCCCACCTCCAACATTGGGAATCATATTTCAACATGAGATTTGGAGGGGTCAAACATCCAAACTATATCACAGTCTTAATATCCATCAGTAGAGGGTTGGTTACATAAATTATGGGGCTGTGTGTAGTGGCTCACCCTATTATACCAGCACTTTGGAAGGCCAAGGCAGGTCAGTCACTGGAAGCCAGGAGTTTGAAACCAGCCCGGGAAACATAGCAAGCCCCTATCTCTACTTTAAAAAATAAAAAAAAATACATCAATAATCTGAATACTATGCAGCTATAACAAAACACAGGAAGCTCTTTATGCATTGATATGAAACCTTCAAAATCTATTGGTATATGAAAAAAGTCAAGATGCAGAATAGTGTGTAAAGAAAGCTAAAATTTGGCCGGGTCTGGTGGCTCATGCTCATGAACCTAGCACTTTGGGAGGCTGACGCAGGAGGACTGCTTGAGGCCAGGAGTTCAAGACCAATCTAGCTAATATAGCAAAACCCCACCTCTATTAAAAGAAATAATAAAGAAAATGAAAATTTGTGTTAACAAGGGAGATAACATTAGTATGCATGTGTATATTTGACTATATTTACATAAAACATCTTTGGAAGGATAGGGAAGAACTGAGAGGCCGGGAATAGCAGTAGGAGAGATAAGTTTTACAGTTTGACCTGTTACACTTTTTTGGATGCAGGATGTTGCTGTTGCTCAGATTGGAGCGCAGTGGCAGTATCTTGGCTCACTGCAGCCTCTGCCTCCCAGGCTTAGGTGATCCTCCCACCTCACCCTCCTGAGTAGCTGGGACCACAGGTACATGCCACAACATTGGCTAATTTTTGTATTTCTTGTAGAGATGGGGTTTTGCCATGTTGCCAAGGTTGGTCTCGAACTCCTGAGCTCAAGCAATTTGCCTGCCTTGGCCTTCCAAAATGCTGGGATTACAGGTGTGAACCACCATGCCTGGCCCCTTTTATACTTTTTGAATCTTGATTTTTGTTTTAAGTATAACTTACTCAAAATAAATAATGAAAATGAGAACAAAGTACAACGACAAAAATTAAAAACATGCCTTAGCAAAAATAAAAAACTAACATATACACAAAATCAAAACATACTAACTAGCCAGGCCCGGTGGCTCATGCCTGTAATTGGAGGCTGAGGTGGGTGGGTCACCTGAGGTCAGGAGTTCAAGACCAGCCTGGCCAACATGGTGAAATCCTATCTCCACTAAAAATACAAAAAATTAGCCAGGCATGGTGGCCTGCGCCTGTAATCCCAGCTACTCAGAAGGCTGAGGCACAAGAATCACTTGAACCCAGGAGGCAGAGGTTGTAGTGAGCTGCTGCACTCTGACCTCTGCACTCTGACCTCGGCAACAGAGTGAGATTGCCACTGCACTCTGACCTCGGCAACAGAGTGAGATTCTGTCTCAAAAAAACAAAAACAAAAACAAACACAAAACAAAACATACAAACTATAGTTGGGTATAAGATTAAAAGAAAAACCCTCCCTCTTCCATATTCCATGCATTTATTTTATTCTATTTTATTGAGACAGGGTCTCACTCTGTTGCCCAGGTTGGAGTACAGTGGCGCAATCAGTTCACTACACTCTCAGACTCCTGGGCTCAGGGGATCCTCCTGTCTCAGTCTTCCAAGTACCTGGGACTACAGGTGTAGGCCACCACACTCGGCTCATTTTAAAATTTTTTTGTAGAGACAGAGGCCTCCCTATGTTGCCCAGGCTGGTCTCAAACTCCTGGCCTCAAGTGATCCTCCCACCTCAGCCTCCCAAAGTGCTGGGATTACAGGTGTGAGCCAGCATGCCTGGCCTCCACCCATTTAAAAAGATTTTTCTTCTTTTTCTTCTTTTTTTTAGAGATAGAGATGTTGCCCAGGTTGGTCTTGAACTCTTGGGCTCAATCAATCCTCCCATTTTGGCCTCCCAAAGTGCTGGGATTACAGGCATAAACCACTGTGCCTGGCTGCTTTTTGTCTCTTTGTTTTTACAGAAAAGGTCTTACTATGCTGTCCAGGCTGGAGTGCAGTGGTTATTCACAGGCATGATCATAGCTCACTGCAGCCTTGAACTCCTGGACTCAAGCAGCCTTTCTGCCTCAGCTTCCCAAGTAGATGGGACTACTGTCGCATACCACCACACCCAGCTTAAAAGGATATTTGATGTATTTTATCTAGCATTTCTGGGTGGGTTTTTTTTTTTTTTTTTGGTACACTTATTCATGCCACAAAGTAAGTGGTACTTATACAAGTGTACAGTGATTTTTCAGGTTCCTTTCTAATATAGCTTGCTTAAATTCACAAGCCAACTAATGTTTCATTTCATGTGCACTCTAAGTGAAGCTGGTTAATGATGACCATAAGCAGGTGCAGAAGCTTTCAACATTTTACTTATTTTATCAGTACTCCTGATTTTATAAATGATGAGGCTCATCAACCCCATTCCCACTCAAATCTGACAAACTTGGGTATAAGAGGGCTTCACAGGCATCCAAACATTTTTAATAATGTTTTGAAGCATCTTGGTGTGGGACAAACAGCTCAGGCTACCCCAGAGCCCCACATCCAATGACTTAGAAAAGTCCGTGTTTTATAGTGGGAAATGTTTGGATTATTTAGTCTGCCACATTGGAAAGGGAAGTGTTTTTTCTCAATCTTTTTGGTATTAACAAATACCTTTTATATTACTATCTATCCCCTCTGCCCCTCTATGGACTCCTATTTTGAAAGCAATATCCAGTGGACCGCCAGCATTTGTTACCTAACAATCTTGACCTTAGGACTTGTTGTTCTATTAAGTTGGTAACTTTGTTTGATCCACGAATCATACTGCTGTCTTTATCAGCCCATCAGTTTCAAGAAACAACTGTACACCTCAGTGCCCTGACTTGTGTTTTTTTCTTTTTTTTGGTTTTGTTTGGTTTTTTAGAGACATGGTCTTGGTATGTTGCCCAGGCTGGAGTGCAGTGGCTATTCAGAGGTGTAATCACAGCACATTTGTAGCCTTGAATTCCCAGGCTCAAGTGATCCTTCCGCCGAAGCCACCTGAGCAGATGGGAGAGGCATGCATCACTAAGCCCAGCAGATTTTACTAAGTAGGTCTAGTCCTAGCTCAGTAGTTCTTTACTAAGCACAGAGCGGCTTCTTAGAATCTTCTACACTTGATCTTAGCCAAATAGCCAAGAAGCACTCTTTAGAATCTTCTAGGAGAGCCTTTCTACATGCTGATACTGCAAACCGAAAAGTATATGAAACATCTCAATTAATTTAGAAGTTAATTTTGCCAACTTTAAGGACGTACCCGGAGACAGGTCCATGCCTTTCTCTAAAGATGATTTTGAGGGCTTCAGTTTTTATAGATATTGGGGATGAATGAATTATAAAAATATGTGGGTAGATAAGAGGCAAACGGTTGCGTTCTTCTGAGTCTTTGATCAGCCTTCACATGTGAGAGGGGTAGAGAAATAGTCACTTATGCATTCGTCTAGCTCAATGAATCTGCATTTTTACATAAGATAAAATAAACAGAGGGCCAGGAGCTGCGGCTCACGCCTGTAATCCCACCGGTTTTCGAGGCCGAGGTGGGCAGATCACCTGAGGTCAGGAGTTCCAGACCAGCCTGGCCAACATGGCAAAACCCCATCTCTACTAAAAACACAAAAATTAGCCAGGCATGAAGGCGTGCGCCTGTAATCCCAGATACTCGGGAGGTTGAGGCAGGAGGATTGCTTGAACTCGGGAGGTGGAGGCTGCAGTGAGCCGTGTTCGCGGCATTGCACTCCAGCCTGGGCGATAGAGCGAGACTCCGTCACAAACAAACAAACAAACAAACAAACAAACATGGAAGGCTGTTTCTACCCGGTTTGCTGGAATAAAGTCTCTGTCTTCCAAATTCCTTTTCGGAGAACTTTTGTTCACGAGATTAAAAAAGGTCAGGCAGCTGCTTATGGAGCCTGTATTTTTTGATTTAGACATTGTATTCATGTGTGAGATCCTGCCCATCCCCGCTTTCTTGGTGTCTTGTTAGTTTTAATTCATGAATTCACTCTCAACTGCCACCGCTAACAGGACACAGGCCAATTCCAACACGAACCCCAACGGCTCTCCTCAGGATCACCTTTCACCAGTCCGCTTTCCCGCCAATTCCTCCTCTCAGTCTTAGGCTCCACTGCAGGCCTACTCCCGCTCACCGTGCAGAACCTAAGCACAGGCTCAGAGATGGGGACGGGCTGACTCAGTCCCACGCCCAAGTCCGCAAATTAGTGCTGCTGCCGCCAAGGGTTACAGAACGCTCCCCACCCCACAGGACGCGCCCCGCCCCCGCTCCCCGCCCCGCCCCGCCCCGCCCCGCCCCCACGCACGCGCACTCTCACCCGCCTGTGTTGCGGTCCGCGGCCCTGACTTCGGGGCCTCGGGGAGCTCCGGTGCAGTCTGCGCCTGTCAGTCCCGGCAGTCGTCCGCCGCGCCGGCCCCCGTCCCGCACTGGTGCAGCCATGTCCTCTTCACCGTGGGAGCCTGCGCCCCTGCGCCGGGTCTTCGTGGTGGGGGTTGGCATGACCAAGGTAAACCGAGCAGCGGCCCCGCTGGCCGGCTGAGGCTCGGGGGCGGTGGGTGCCGGGTTTCTCTGCCCCTCCGGTCTCCTAGCTTCGGCTGCTCCGCGCGTGGGGCATCAGCATGGCGACTTGGTGGCTTGTAATATGCGGAATCTCTGGGGTCATAGCGTCTCGGGCTGGTTCCTGCGGCCTTCTGCTTCCTCCTTCCCTTTTCTTCTGCTCAGAGTTCATGAAGCAGCCCCGAGATAACCCAAGGATCTCACCTCTTTAGATTCTGAGCGGAGTCCCGAGGTGTGTAGGCTGGCTTGCCCCGGAGGGAGGCAGGTCGTGAATGCCGTCTGCTCGACCCTCCCAGGAACAGCCCCCACAGGAGCCCTCGTAGAGACAGCTCCAGATGCGGATGGCGAGGAGAAACGCTGCTGATGCCCAGCGCCTCGGCCAAGTGGCAGAGTCCGGCCTCCCTCTGTCCCTCCAGTGACTGCTTGGGACCCGGACGCCGCAGGCTCCCACGGCCGTTTTCCCCTCAGTGCCCGCATGCTCTCTGAATGCCAAACTGCCTTTCGTTTCTCCCCCGACTCAGTTGTCTGATGCCTCTGTTGCTTCTGTTCTGTTTGTACCGTGTGTCTTCACCTGGTTAACTTTTGTGCATCCTGAAAGGATCCGTTCAGATGGGATCTTCTCCAGGACGCCTCGGATCCTCCTGACTTTCCCCTAGAGCCTTGCACTGTGCTTACTTCTGTCTTACACTTAACTCTACTTACGCTTACTAGGCAGTACCGAAGCTCTGTATGCGTCTGTGCGCCCCCTTAGCATGGCAGCTCCTCTAGACTGGGTACCTGGCTTATTCGCTGCTGTGCCCCTCACCCTGATCGTTCCTGATGCCTGAAGACCCTCAGTGAATGTTAGTTGAACAATCCTAAATGGATATGCTTTGTGAAAGAGTTCTTAGGGAGAGTGCTATTTCTGAGAAAACAGTCCTAAAATGTTTATTATTTTACCAGTGGGCTGAGCGTATGCAATTCAGTCCAACATGTAAATAGGCTGGGAGCGGTGGCTCACGCCTGTAATCCCAGCACTTTGGGATGCCAAAGCGGGTGGATCACCTGAGGTCAAGAGTTCGATACCAGCCTGGCCAACATGGTGAAACCCCGTTTCTATTAAAAATACCAAAATTAGCTGGGCATGGTAGCACACGCCAGCTACTCAGGAGGCTGAGGTGGGAGGATTGCTTGAGCCTGGGAGATGGAGGTTTCAGTGAGCCGAGATCACGCAACTGCACCCCAGCCTGGGCCGTAGAGTCAGTCCTTGTCTCAACAAAAACCAAAAATATCCATGTAAATGGAAAAGTGGACCAATACCTTATGAAGCAGAAGGACATCATCCTAGTGTTTCACAGAAGGGGAGGCTTCTATCACAGGTGGACAGTAAGATCTTTCGAAGTAAGGTGTTAATGCAGTCAAATCTTCCTCTGGCTGCTGAATGTCTGATTATATGTGCTGTATGGAAAAGCACAGTTGTCTAAACCTTTGGGAAATAGATGTGTTCCTTTTTCCTCAAGTTGGGAGGTAGAGAGGTGGGGGTAGGTGTTACAGTCCAGAGGGAAGGGGTGAGGAGTTTGGGTAGTGCCATTAATGATGTGCCTGTTTGGCCAGTGTACTTTCCTGTGGGTCTGGTCTTCTGGACCGTGGGGCAGAGGCTGATGGAGGAGGGAGAAATATTGACTAGACAACACTGTAACACTTTTTTTTTTTGGAGACAGGGTTTTGCTCTGTCAACCAGATGGGAATGCAGTGGTGCAATCATAGCTCACTGCAGCCTTGAACTAGTGGACTCTAGCAATCCTCCCAAATAGCTAGGACTACAGGCATGCTACCATACCCGGCTAATTAATTATTTTTTTTTTTTTTGTAGAGACGGGTCTCACTACTTACTACTAGATGGGTCTCATTTCTACCATATATTACTGTTACAATTTATCATAATACTTTATTTTTATTTTTTGAGACAGAGTCTCACTCTGTCCTCTAGTCTGGAGTGCAGTGGGGCGATCTCAGATCACTGCACCCTCTGCCTCCCAGGTTCAAGTGGTTCTGCTCAGCCTCCCGAGTAGGTGGGATTACAGGTGTGTGTCATCACGTCTAGCTCCTGTTTGTATTTTTATTTATGTTATTTTTTGACACAGATTCTTCCTGTGTCACCCAGGATGGAGTGCAGTGGTGCAGTCTCAGCTCACTGTAACCTCTGCCTCCTGGGTTCAAGCAATTCTCGTGCCTCAGCCTTCTGACCAGCTGGGATTATAGGTGTGCGCTACCACACCTGGCTAATTTTTATATTTTTAGTAGAAACAGGGTTTCATCGTGTTTGCCAGGCTGGTCTTAAACTCCTGGCCTCAAGTGATTCCTCTGCTTCAGCCTCCCAAAATATTGGGATTACCAGCATGAGCCACGGTGCCCAGCCTAGGTAATACTTTAAAGTTCCATTGATAGATCTCAGCTGTTGGGGTTCCTCTGTTATGTTTCTCAATTTAAATAGCTGAATTTGACAATATGAAGTTCTCTTAACAAGGTTTTATTATTCACTGTAGGAAATGAGTTGGAATTCCTATGGTGGATATCAACAGGTTTTGTTTTTTTTTGTTTTTTTGGTTTTTTTTTTGAGACAGAGTCTCGCTCTGTTGCCCAGGTTGGAGTGCAGGGGCGTGATCTCGGCTCACTGCAAGCTCGGCCTCCCGGGTTCACGCCATTCTCCTGCCTCAGCTTCCCGAGTAGCTGGGACTACAGGTGCCCGCCACCACCCCCAGCTAATTTTTTGTATTTTTTAGTAGAGACGGGGTTTCACCGTGTTAGCCAGGATGGTCTCAACCTGCAGACCTCGTGATCCACCCACCTTGGCCTCCCAAAGTGCTGGGATTACAGATGTGAGCCACCGTACCCGGCCGTCAACAGGTTTTAACACAACTTAGTCATGGCTGCCATCTGACTGACAGCAAGCCACACCCTTTGCTTATGCTGCCTATCTCCAGATATACCCTCTTTTCATTTACTTAAATGCTACTTATCTTTCAAGAACTAGTCCAAGTCCCATACCTTCTTAAAACTTCCTCAGACTACTCCAGTACACCAGTCACCTTTTTTGAAATTCTAGTGCCCTTATAGTCAGAACATATAATTTAGCACTTCAGTTTTTTAGTACTTTTATGTATGGTAATTTCATGAAATAACATCTTACATCACAATCCAGTAAACACATACAAAACTTATTTATAACAACTGAAACAATTTGTTAAAGCAACGCTTATTGCATGTGATGAACTCTTGGTATCCCTAAGGTATATCTTAAAAAAAAAAAAAAATTTGCTTGGCTGGATGTGGTAGCTCATGCCTGAAATCTCAGCACTTTAGGAGGGCGAGGCGGGTGTATCTCTTGAGCCCAGGATTTGAGAACAGCCTGGGCACTATTGGCAAAACCCCATCTCTACTAAAAATGCAAAAAATTAGGTGGGCTTAGTGGCACACATCTGTAGTCCCAACCACTCGGGAGGCTTAGGTGGGAGGATCACCTGAGCCTGGGAAGTCGAGGCTGCAGTGAGCCCTGTTTGAGCCACCACACTCCAGCCAGGGTAATGGGAGTGAGACTCTGTCTCAAAAAAAAAAAAAAAAAAAAAAAAAAAAAAAAAAAAAAAGTGCTGCTCACAACCTACTAAATTGATTTGGTCATAATCTAATAAGTACAAATTTCAGTTTGAAAAATATTACGTTATTTTATTTAATTTTCAGCATGTAATGGATTTTTATATATCCATTCAATTATCTGACTCTAAGGCTCAGAGGGACTAAGTAATTTATTTTGGTGCAGCTTTTAAGTTTTGGAACTGCCTTACTTGAAATCTTTCCATATACGGTATACTTGAAATTCCAATATACGGTATACTTGAAATCTACCGTATATTACTGTTATAATTTATCATTGAGACATATATTCAGTAAATATTCTATGGGTTATATGCTAGAGATGCAAAAATGAGAAAAACAAAGTTCCTGTTTTAAAGGAATATCTAATCTGGAGGAGAAAAGAATAAACAAGTAATTTAAATAAGATTATTTGAGATATTTGTTTAAACATGGCAGATTGAGAACATGAATTTATCTCTGTTGGTGCTTTCCATATCCCACTAAAGCAACAATAAGGAAAGAAAATGATGTTAATCCACAAGGGCAAAGTGAGTAGGAGAGGAAACAATGCTGAGAGATATCAGAAAATTTTTGGAAGATTTTAAGTTGGTGGAGAAGTGGTCACTGACTCAGAGCAGGGGGACCACTACCTAAGTTCCTGAAGAGGGGTTATACTGGTTGAGTCTCCCAGCAGAACTCCAGAAGGCCCAAAACTTGGATATACTAGGTGCCAGGTAGGGTGGGAAAGAAGAAAAAGACTATTCTAAGGAACAGTTAGGTCCCAGTCTCTTTTACCACCAGGTGACTTTACCTTTTCTTAGCAGAGTATTGGAGACTTTTTCTCTGGGAAAACTGAACAGATGCAGAGGCTCTAGAATCATCTGAGCTGTTAGGCCCAAGTTGAAAAAAAGGGAATTAAATTGAATTCTGCATGCTAAAGGGTAGTACTTCCCAGCTGTGAGAAGCAACACTGGTAGTCACACATGTACTACTTTGCTGGCAGAGATTTGGAAAATTATTTGAAATGGCTCCAGAGAGAAGCCAGCTTGCTACTCCATCATCTTGTGGTGAAGATTAGCAGTTGATAAGCTTCATTCA